AACTGGACAGTTCAAAAAAGAAGTTGAGGTAAACGGGGAAATGTTGCGGCTTGCCTTGGTAGGGTATTCAAGGCAACGTCTTTCGTCAGGATATGAAGCAAAAATTGGTTGCAACCGAACAAAAGTATCACAGTTTGGGAGAAATAAGCAAAAAAACCTTTAGGAGTTTGCCCAAGCGGCGGTACTTGTGCCATCTTCCAGAATGATAAAATAAAAAAATGAGAATAGGAATGAAAAAAGAGAAACATTTTAGAATCCACTATTTGCTTGCTTAATAAATCTGATAGTTTGAATGATTTTTGAATGGAAAAAAATCGAAGACAGAAGCGAAATGCTTGACGAGGCCAAGTTGTCCCAATTCCCAACGCCATTTATGAAGAAATAAACAATATGATAAAATAATAGGAGTGCACTATTGCTCCATTATGGCAGTCCACGTTAAGACTTAAATCTTATGAAATGGAGGTGATAGAGGCTACAGTACCCACATTTTCCGACACTTTCTGAATAAAAGCGCAGTAGGGGTGTAAACGAGGTAACGGGGTAAAAGACTCACTAAACTTGCGATATTGTAAATTGTCAACCACCGCAATGCTTTCATACTGACTGGAAGCGGTAGCAGCAGCAGCAACAGCCGTAGTATTGTCTAATGCCCCTCCTCCGCTTCCACCTTGTTTCCACTCTTCACTCCTTTCCACTCCAGTAGCGCCGCCAGCTACTGTTGCAGTGGTTGCTGCGCTGGTGGTGGCAGTGTGGATCACCGAACGCGCAACGAAGGAGTGGCGAGCCGAAGATGAAGGGGACGACGAGCGCTCCAACACAAAGAGGCGCAGGTTCAGCCAGAAGAAGACCAGGAACATCAACTGTATGATAGTGGAAGGAAATATGTGCAGTGAGAGAGCAAATAGGATCGCACAAAGTGAGTTATTACCTTCAAACACGCTTGCATGCCCCATATTCGCGGCTTGTCCCGGCAATGGGTACATAGTCCTTAAGCAAATTTTATCTCTGAATACCCCGCCACACATTAAACTAGAGCATCTGGTTAAACAGGCAAGATATCTTACTGACAAAGGGCTGCCAAAGACTAACTTGAAGAGACAGAGGCCACACAGGAATAGGCCAGCGATGAAGTCCTATCTCGGTTAGATTCAAATTCTTATCTGGCAGGTAAGTCGGCAGTTCACTCTCCGTGAGATCGAAGCAGTAGATATACTGTAGCAAAATTATGCACATTCCGTAAGCAACAATCAGAGGGCTGCAATAGAGACAGGCCAGCCGCGAGTTAGGTAAGATCCATAAGACGCATGCGGAGAGGAGGAGGATGAAGGATAACCAGCTGCGTAAGACTACGCTCCAGGCCTAGGCAAGATAGAAGAGTCTTATGTATAGTCGTTTTACATAGGGAAGTAAAGCTATGGGATTCGGGACTTCCGGTAAACCGAAAAAAGACATCTAAAGTGATGCTACACATACCAGCAAGTGACACGAATATGACAATGACATTTCCTGCCAAAGAATGGATAGTACTCATGCATATCTATCCCGTGAAACTCCCAGTTCATGCCTTTCAATGGCGTTTTTAGCCGTGGGAGTTTGTACGCCACAGCTTCAGCAGTGAGTGCTCTAACCATTCGAAGAGCATAGGAACAGAGCACAGGAAGTTTCTTATGGGAATGCTGAGATTCATGTTTAAATACAGCAGCAGAGAAACTGAAAAAATAACGGGTTGTCCATTTCCTTGGAACTGGTTTCTCGTACACTTAAAGCCTTCGATTGCACTTGAGTGATATGCTACAATAACATCTCCAAAACCTACCTTTCTAACACATTAAGGGCGTATTAATTAATGTCAAGGCTTACCATCATAGCGATAAAGGTGAGAATATAGCTATTTCGAATAGCCGAATTGAGAAAGCTGAGGAGAAGTGGACGCTGAGTAAGAGGTGAGAAAAAGTTGGCATTTTCGTCAAGAGTAATATCGCCACCGATATGGCGAAATCGAGCAGCTATCATGAAGGGAAAGACATCATAGACGGGTTGAGAACGGTCAGTGGGCCCTCCTGACTTTAGTAAACGCCCTCCCCCATCGTTATTAGTCGCATTCACTGTTTGCGGCCGTGAGATCTGCTTTATTTCTGGTTCATCAGCTTGTACTAGAACCTAAAAGAGGACGAGATGAACACGCAGCCGTTAGTAACAAAAGACTGAAATTTTGTGTTGTGCTACCTTTGTCCATAAAGTTAAAATAAAATCCCGTTGTCTAAGTGACTATACCCATTGGGAAACACGATAAAAGCTGATTTGTAGTTATACAGTCGCATTTGATTCCGTACTAGAGGCAAAAAATGGAAGATCAATCGAAGTCACATGCTGTCGGCAACAACTCCAACCTCGACGTCAGCGGAATGAAGAGTCCAGTAATGACCTAACTGCAATGGCAATTTTGCGCACCATGTGAATGACACCATCTGCAACCGCCAAAGCTGAAGGAAGGCAAGCGAGACCTTCGAACAGCAATGGAATGAGAAGATGGCAGAGGGAAGTAACAGACGACCATATTTTCGATACAAAGCGCTTCTAGACCAGCATTTTCACAGAATGCAAAATAATATTGAAAATGAACCTGCTGCAGAACAGCAAATAGCTCTGATACGTAACCCCGACAGGACCACCATCATTCTCCCATGACTTGCAGAAAACGCCTACAGAAAATGATAAAATCAAAACTAAACTAAGGAAAATTGTGTATTTCGCGTCGCTTTTACGATTTGACAATTTTAGTTGCAGAGGGATATTAACGTCCCAATTTAGCCCACTGCTTTAGGCTACCGATAAAGTCAAGTCAAAAAACAGACCAATTATTCCGAGCAAAGTCGACAGGAAAAAGCCGCACTGAATGAACAGTTTCGAAGTCGATGTCGAAGAGAACGGAATAAGACGATGATAGCGAACGGTCGGATAAGCAGTATTGGTGTTGAATTACTTGCAGCATTTCTCGATGCACTATTATTTGATTAGAGGGCAGGAGATCCCGATCACAGTTATTCATCAGAGGCGGTAGACAAATCCTACTCCATCATTTATACTTGCGTATGAAAAAATACCACAAGTAGGTCATTAAACCTGCTCGACATAGCTAATCTCAATGAAGAGGGTTCGTTCTCCGGTTGATAAAGAGATTTCAGAAATAAGATATAATACAATGCATCCAGAATATTTTTAAAGCGTAGTTTAAAAGGAGTGCATAAAAAAAGAAATGCAGAGCATACTGATCGAGTTGATGTTTCAAGACAAAATTATCTGATTTAAATCAAAGATGGAGTCAGAAAATATACATGCGCTTAAGACTGACGACTGAGAGGGAATGCAGCCTCCTATCTTTCATTGTGATCAAAAATCTGTCAAGGATGCAAAACTAAACTAATTGAAAGCAATCACTCTCGTTTCGTTGCTTGTGCCTACTAAATAAACATGCTGGAGAGAGAAAGGGTAAAAGGAAGAGCAATTCAAAAATAACACCTGGAAATTCTATAAATGCGCGGCAGAGTCCAGTGTGGAACAAGCTAATAACATTTCGATCGCACCTGACAAGGCTAAAGCACAATTCGTTACCCGCATATGAATGCTGACTTTTTATGGCACAAACACCACTGCTCCCCTTATCTGACCATGGCAACCGATGCCGTACTTTTCCTTTGTACTTCAGAGTAAGTCGTCTAGCCACAAAATACCCGGATTGACCAAGCAAAGCAGTTCATCGGTATCAACAAATCTATTTATGGTTAATGTGTCTCAGAACACGCCAATTCTGAACAAAGTGTCACGACCTAACTAATGAAGAAATCCTCTTTATATCCCCCATACTGTACTCTTCCTGCTCTAAACTCTCTCCCACACCATTCAATGCAAAGCCGACCGGAAAATCTGAAGCACACAAGTCCATCACGTCTGGCCAACAAACCGAACTTAACTCTACCGATGTCCCAAGTTTCCTCAACATCTGTCGTAAAGCTTGCACAGTAAATGGAGAATGTTAGGATGTCAATGTCTTGAGTTAGTATGCCACGTGAGTCATGAGAAGGTTTGTCCGCACTTACACCGACAGAAAAGACCTGGACCTGTAGTTAACTAAGAACTGAACCCTGCTGACAAAGTACAGGACAATAAGTGGGCCACGTAGAGGCAAACCTTTTGCTCTCCATAATCACAGGAAAGTAGAGGATCACCATTGAAAGTAGAGAACAAACAATATGCATTAGTGATTCGTACAGTTGGCGAGGTGCTAAGCAAGAGAACAAAGATATCTCCCACCAGCTATTCTTAATTGATCCGCTCCACACCGCCCAACCACGCACAGCGAGTTCTACTGCTCAGTCTTACCATATGGAAGCAATCGTTTTATCAAAGATCTTGCCCTTGCTAAGCATCAAACAATCACCCCAAATCTACCTGATTATTGGTCGATGCTCCATACGACACAGTCCGATAGGTACGTAATGGCAACGCCTCGAGAAATGTTCAGTACTAGCGAAACAGCTAACCAAAAAAGGAATTAACACACCCTTACTTCGAACTGACGCACCATCCCGTCCTGATAATGGGAAAAAATATCAAATAAGAAACACTGTAGAGGTTTGAGAAGTCAAACTGAGATGGAAGTAGTTACAAGAGCAATGAACTTTGTCTCTGGAAATAAATCCATGAGTGACGAAATTTTAGGGCGTGAGGGTCGCAAGAACGACGCAGTTGCTTAACAGTCATGCGTGCCAGAATCAGGGCTTCGTGGAGCACAATAAAACAATTTAAAAGGTTTAGCTGCCAATGAGCTAATAGCATTGCCTTAGTTGAGAACATTGATTTCATTCTTTGCAACACATAAATCAAATCTCCTCGAAGAAAGATACTAAAATTCTGACTGGCTCGAAATGCTAAGTAACTCTCAGAGTTTTTACCACTACCCGCTTTGGGAAAACCCAGAGCACCAGGAGGATATTACTCGCTCTTTACCACCACTCATGATGACAGATGAAGAGAGGTTTAGACATACGCAAATATGAGACAGGCTTACAACGGTTTCAGTGGTAGGCGGATCATCCAAATCAATGAGGGTCTGATCCACAATGGAATGATCAACCTGTGACAATGGACCAGCCATAGCATCTGGGCCAGAGTTCTGATTGGTGTTTTGGAGCAGTGGCTCATTCAGACTCGCTGACGGGTACTGCTGATTCAACTCATCTGTGGGTTGCCTACGCTACGAAATTAAGAAAACGTTAAAGAATAAAAGTACATCCTATTCCACCTTACCTGTCGTTGCAGTAAGGAATGCCGATGGGTTGCCGAGGAGAGATTTAAATTCCGCAATAAAATCTACAAATTGGAGGAAGCACAAAGCCAAGCTTACCCATTTGGTCATGCTGCCGTGCAAATCGGTGTCGTTATTGGTTATAATCTCAGCCGCAACCACCAAATACACAAAGAGCGTTGCAATAGGGGCAAAGAAAACAAATAGTGGTTTGTCAGAGGGAAATATCACCTCTCCCGGTCGCGCACAATCCACACGGACTAGATAATTTAGCCCAAGTAATCTAAATTGTAAAATTAAGGGGAGTCGAAATACACACCTAGCCGTAAAAGATCCGTCTTTGAGAATGCTTTGGGCATATTCAAACTGGTAGAGGTAGAAGAGGCAGAGGTGGAGAGCGCTGTAGATGAGGAGAACAATCCGAGTCCAGGCGAGTTTACGATTGTATACAGTCTTACAAGAGGACCAGTATGTGCATGTTACATAAAAGCTGAGCAGATAGAAGGCAGACAGGAGGGAGGGGACGATAACACCCGCAGCAGCTACTAAAACCACGGTGAGGAGGTTGAGCATCCAGATGTTTGGTAATGAAGCAGTAGGGACGGGCCTTTTTGCAGGAATCCTGGGAACTTCCGCAGAGCGCAGAAAACCGGTTGATGTTTCTCCGGTGTCAGTGTTTTCAGGACTAGAATGTGTGGCCTCCTCGTCAGAGTGACGATCACAGACATGATGTCGTATTCTTCTTCGTGAAAGGTAAACTAGAGCAGCGATTGAAATGAGCAGAACCATGGGATCTGGAAAAACCAGCCTCATCGCACGGTAGATTTCCATATCGAGTCTAGAGTTAACTGTTAGAAGATTCATAAACTCACTTCTGAACCCCAATAGCTGAACCAATGCTATACTCGGAAGAGCCTATACAGAAATGGGAATAAATAAATCGGGTCCAGCTTACAATTTGAAAGCAGCTCATCGAAAGACGGTTTGATTGATAGAATTAAGTACAGCAAGGGATGGGAAAGAGTAAATAGAATACTTGTTGTAGCTAGAACAACTAAGTAAGCTTTTAGAGAGGCTGGAGGACATGGAAAGAAATAAATGAAAGCGAACCTTTGCTGCTCTCATCCCGTGGCCGTCGAATGAAAGGTGATCCCAAAAATAATAGAAAATAAATAAAGGAAAAGAGATTGTAACGGATTGTCGATGCTGTAGAAAAATAGACTCAAGAAAATATTACCAAAGAACAGCCCAAAAGGAATAACAACATGCAGCAAGACGACGTCGTAAGACAGCTTCGCCATTTTGTTGAATTCAAGGAACCTTCATCGGATCTAGCGGCAAAACCAGTCACAGAAGTGGTTAAGGTCTCGAGAGGCCTTAGCCAATAAGAACATGAAGAAAATTTGTTATCATTAGATGATAAAAAGATTCGCATTATAATAAGAAATTATTCTCTTGGCAAACTGGAAGCAAATGAAAAACATTTTCGTATCTTGCAATTAAAAGGCAAGCAAAAGTTAAGCCATCAAATGTAATAGGTGAATTTTGAATGCATCTCAAGAGTGGGTAATTTACTTTAATATCACTGCTTTCTTCCTAGGCCTGCTTTTAAATGGAATTTAACAACTAATAGGACTAGTTGTAATCCACATTGCCATGTCTAAATTGTCCTTGAGGGCGAGAGGTGGGATTGAGTGGGAATTTAGTGGTTGATGAGTTGTGGAAGGTTGCTTCGGGCGAGCGTTGGGGTCTTTTGCGCTAATACCACCTAATATTCCAGAACAAACCAACCTTCTTGAAGGGCGTCTCATGGGATCTTGGGAATAGGGCTGGGGGGCTACGTTGTTTTTGATTCCAAAGGGCGGACGTTCTATTGCTCTCGCTTTGCAAGTTTCAATATAAATATCTTTGCCTTATCATTATTCTTCAGTCATTAGACTTTGTGCCCCCTGTAGCTGTTTCAATGCTTCCGTCGAAGCCCCAAATTTAGCGAAATTCGTTTGAAAACTTAACTGGTTGGAAGATCGCTGTTGTGCTTCAGTGTTTGCAGTGTAGCATTACGACAATTCATTTGGGTATTAAGAGACATGAGTGTAGTACTGCGTTTATGTGACACCTAGTATCTTGTCTCTGAACTCGTGGGCCGCATCTCGGGTCAAGCCAAGATCTAGTTCATCCTTCTCTTAGAATGCGTGTATTTAGCCCAACTTAATGCCTCTTTCAATCTAGGAGGAAAGTCTAGGGCACTAGACCGATAGCAGCAAAAACGGGTCCCAATATTTTTAACGCCTTTATTCTGGTGTTCACTGTTTGTGACATGTTTAACAGGAAAGATGGTATCAAAAAATCTTGCATGGAAGGAGAATTTCAGCAGACTTCCTTCTAAAGTGTATGTGCTTCCTTCGCACGGTAGGAACATCTCTCTTAGACCAGTTTACCAACGCCTCCTTCTGAACACAATTCACGGTCGACGGATGTATGTGGGCCTGATTCATGCTGACAGATCAAACGTGACTGCAGTTCCAGTCGGGACTGATGGGAAGATCATGTACGGTTCCTCAGTCTGGCGTGGCGGGCTCGCGAGTGCTTTCTCACGGTGCCGAATTTGTTGTGGTGGCTATCGCGGGAGGTTGCTCGAAGGTGGAGAGAGGCATTGTAATGCTTGGGATTCGTCTTGCCCTTACATGCGTTGGCTGGCCTTTGGATCAAGCCAGGGCTCTATTCCCTCTTCTCACTTCCTTCCTCCTTAAATACATATATACAGCTCTACTTACTGCCTTCTTTTACTTAGTGGGAAGCCTCGGGGCGCTATATTTAGTGTTGACTGATTGTATCTATTCGCATAGAAGAAGTAGTGAGCTTTGGGGTGAGTCGAGGTTCAGCTCACTGAACAGTGCGACTTAGTCGCCGGTGTTCTTCAGTCATATGGAGAGTCGGACAAGTAGGGTATCGCAGTCATCTCGAAGTAAAACCTTAACTTCCGTGGACACAGGTGCTTACGACATCAAGCACCAAGTTAGGAAATCTAACTATAGTATTCTTTCTGTTCAACTGCCTATAAGAGTGGCGATCATTTCTGCTGGTCATCCTGCTTCTGGTTGTTGGGATGGTCTTTCGATGTAAAGAAGCTTTACCTCCACTATCGTCCTTTGGAAATCAGGCGACTAGCCCATTCTTATTGCTTCTATTACCAACTGGGGAGTCTTGGGACGGTGTATAACTGCTCATTACGAATAACTGCATTCAATGCAAGAAATGGTAGCTAAATAGTTTCTGAGCACACCCATTTTCACTCCAGCGCTTTTTAAACAACTTCAAAATTCTAGAAAGCTATTATAGCGTTCCAACACTTCTTGGTATATGTATGACGCTCGATTGAATAAATACACTCAGACAACAAAAGTATACGAAGCTCTCTGTATGGTCCAAAGCCCTGTCCACTAGCCAACCATAGGATTGCTAAGTTAGCCACTCACACGGTCAACGGAACAAAAGAAGTATTAAAGCCATTGTCATTGTAATGAGGCTAACTTAACAAACTATCTTGCTTTAAAATTAGTCTTAAGCTAAACTTCCGAAAAATTGATCCTATTCTACAAACTTGGAGCCTCGTATTTACTGTCCAGCACTGTTCAAGGTGCCCTCTATATCCCGCTTTGGGACGCAAGGTAAGGCTTGGTATATTGAGCATGCAGCACCGCTGATTGACGGTGTTCCTTCTGAATTGCGAATGAACCTGTATTCTTGATTTATTAAAAGAGGACAAAGGATGACTCAAATGAGTTAAAGAGAGACTCCACAGAAATTCGATGTGAACGTAGCCACGTGCTACCTTTAGGCCAGTGGTTCATGCCGCTTGAGATTTACACGAGGTCAACAGCCACATGGTAAATTGTCACCGTAAAAAGTTTGGCGTCTCCAGACAATTTGTGCAGTGCCCATCTTGGCAAAACACCTTCCAAAACGCCTGTAGTAACCTACTACGAAGTTCTTTACTCTCCTTTGGTAGGCAATGTTAATCACTGCGTTATTCGAAGAAGCAGAACTTCAAAATGTTTACCAGTTCACAGTCAAACGTTTCTCCTATTGGTCGCCTTGCACCAACTTCGAATTAGTACCGTGTCTTCGGATTTCTTCACAGATGGCAATTGTTTGGTCGAGGAGATTTGAAAAGTTGCTAATGCATTACCTTTCGAAAAGGTAGTGAGTTAGCCGACTCTCGCCTATTATCTGTCTTTGGTGGAAGGCCGCTTTGACCAGCTTAAAGTGTCAGATAAATGACTGATTTAGGTCAGTATAAGTGTATTCAACTTTCTCTGCTCTGGGCATGGTTAAGAGCTTCCGTCCCTTTCCTTTGCTAGCTGGAGTGTTGAGGTTTGTTATATGACTTCGCTCTTTATAAACCTTTGAGTGTAATGTCAATTTTCGATAAAGAACTGACATGTGTTTGGGTGACTGTGGTATCTGTCTCGCCCTGTCCGTGTTCTCCTCACTGTCTTACTATGACTGTTCTCCTCAGCACAACATATACTCGTGGGGACATATCAAACTAGCAGCTCAATAGCTGCAAGTTCTCATATTAATATCACGATTAAGTTACACATAGAAGGTGCTCAATTCGCCCACAGATATTGCAGTGGCTTTAGATAAAGCATTGTAATTATCATTAGTGTAACATACACTACTGTGTTTAAGTTTGCCTTGATAGGTGATAGGCGGAAAAGCAATTCGAACACGAATCCGATTCGTGGGGAGCCCGATAAGACACTTCCAAGGTGAAATCAGCTTCACGTCTCATCAATTCTCTCCCTCCCCCCTTCATTATCTTTCTTTCTGTACATGATGCCCAATAAAGCTTCTTGAACAAACCCCCTCCTGAAGTCCGAAGTTCAGGCAGGCCTTACAATTAGCACTTCCTTCTGTGATGAAAAACCAGACGCAAATCTATCTGATTGAAAAGTGAGCCTTGGAAGTCGCCACCCTAACAGCCTCAAAGTTTTAATTCCCGCTCCTCAGGTTTTCTTACTTGGCGACATTTAACGTAAAATTCAGTACACTATTGTCCTTTTCTTTGCATACTAGATCTTGACTTTTCAATGAAGGAGTGAAGACGCTCTGAAATTTGCCATCAACTACTACTACTAAAACTAAAATGGCCTTTATATTACCTGGAGCCTTCAAGCCGGCAGGGAGTTAGAAAGGCGTTAGGTGGTGCTCTGGTGCAGGGACTAATGAACTAGACCGAACGTTGTGCTTACCCACTGAGAATCTCAGTCACCTGAAAGCTATTCATCATGCCACAGTGGATTGTACCGTTTTGAAATGGGTGGTCACCAATCTAACGACTCGGAACGTATCTCACAAACCTCTTTCCGCTAGTAATTGCAAAACATTTGTGTGTCACTCACAAACATCGCGACCACCATGAAGAAGTTTCATTTTTAGCGTTCGTTCACCTTGACCAATAACAGACAGAACCAATATTAAGCTACGCACCTCCAGCAAGGTAAGCAATACCAAACAAGCACTCACGACGACGCATAATTAATTTCGGGATGGAGCACGTGAAATCCTCAGACCTTTCCCATAGTAAAAGCGGCAGCAGTATGAGTAGACCACAAAAAGTCCTCTCGCCAAGATCAGCATAGGTTCATATAGAAGGGGATCTCGTCATCACGACCACGAATTCACGAACACGAATTCACGAATTCACAACAACCCACCAAGCCCCTACTCCACTGACCAAAAAAAGAGAAGACCGACCAAGAGAAAATTACTTAGTGGCACGATGGATGCACAAGGAAAATCAACGTTTATAAATGGTTACACTTCTGTCCCTTCGCAAAATATCAATAACGTAAGTTGGCAGATATTGTCGATATTTTACCTTGAGGGCACATTTGAGTTAAGATATATCACTAAGCTGTGGCAGATCACACTTCCTCTGAGTTCTGTGACCTCCAATTCCCCAGCTCACCGTTTGGGCGCGCAACCACTGAAGTTCATGCGAGTTACATTTCCTCTTAGCGGCATGAACTCCGGGGCATGCCGGCAGCCCTACAATTTTTCTGCATGTCGGCTATACAACGGTAATAAAGGCTCGGAAAGACGCATGATTCTCCTGTTTTCTACGTAGGACTGTAGTAAATGCTTCTACACAGTCACTTATGCCATCCGCGCAGAAACAAGCCAGAAAACCATGTTAATAGATGACGATGCATGACTTACAGGTGGAAAGTAGAATGAATAAGTCTAACATCAGATATAACGCCAAAGCATGAATATAGTAACTAAAAGACCACACTGACGATCCGAAGTGCATGGCACAGACCTTAGCGACTGTGCTACTGCATGCAGAGTAAAAAACATTGAATGTTTGCGATGCAGTAAAAGAAGTGAGATAAATTTTAGGCTTAGTTCAGCCTACGAAACACCTCCGAGAACACTTGTTTTATAAGCAACTAGGTTAAATAATCGGCGTGTATCCCAACGAATTCACGATTTTAACTTCAAAATACAGCATTGTTTATCCTAAATCAAATGAATATTGTATATTTCTGTCAAAGTAAAGCCTTTTAAAATGACTCCATTAATTGCCTCTGTTGAGATTATTTAAGTGTGTGGGCATAGACTAGTTCGACTAACGAGCCGATTTCGAAAATTCGAGTTCGTTAATATGGCCCGTTTGCGTTTTCGAGATTATGAAGCAGACAAAAAGGAGATTCAGGGTTTTCTAAGGGAGTTCCATAAGGCTGAAGCTGACGGCGGAAAACGTTTCCCTTACTTGGAACAGCTGGTAATATTTGAATTACTTGATCATTCTCCAGCACAAAATTGCCAACCGCACTCAGAATGTTATTCGCATATCTCTTGACGACCTATGGGATGTCAGTGAAGATTTAACAACTGCAGTGGAATTGAATACTGTACGGTTCCAGAAACTGTTCGCTGAAGTAATTGATGATCTTCTTCTTGATTACCGTGGGAGTGATGTAAGGTGGAATTTTGTCCTCGAAAGCTATCCCTGTGTAGGCTCACATTCGGGATGTGTTGGATATATACATTGACCACAGAATACGAATGGAACAAAAGCTACAAATGGTCAATGCAGGTGTTGATCCGGGTTCTGGTGTCCAACAAAACGTCCAAATATCCACTGCTGATTTGCGTGAAATAAGGGCCAAATTTCCCCCAGAGCTTCTAAGGCGGTAGTGAGTTTAATTTATTGAATGCATTTGGGTGAAGCAGTTGCTTAATGGTGGGTAATCTGTTCGTTTCTAGCGAAGTTTACTTCACAGCTCGCTCCCACTTCAAGCCCATGACTGTGAGGACAGTTTTGGCATCCAGTGTCGGCCACCTGATCCAGGTTCGCGGAGTTGTTTGTCGCACGACTGAAGTGAAACCTCTTTTGCGTGTTGCCACGTACACCTGCGACCGCTGCGGTGCTGAAACCTATCAGGTGAAGGGTTTGGTTTGTTTCTTATTGCTAGATGCGCATTTCTCCTTTTCTTTAAGCCTCCTTTCTTCTTAGGAAATCACAAGTTCTAGTTTCATGCCATTACTTGTGTGTCAAACCGCCGCCTGCAAAGGATCCGGAGCGGGCAGTGCAGGTCAACTACAGTTACAAACTCGTGGCTCTAAGTTCCAGAAGTTCCAAGAACTCCGCATTCAAGAGCTTTCAGAACAAGTATTGTTTCCTGAGATGCATTTTTTAGCGCGAAGGGACACTAGTCTAGTTTTTTTTTTGGAACTTAGGTTCCTGTTGGTAATATACCGCGTGGTCTTACTGTCTACGCTCACGGAGAGAATACTCGCCTAGCTCAGCCGGGAGACCACGTTCTTGTTACGGGCGTTTTCCTGCCTTCAGCGCGCGGCACCGTTGGAGGAAGGGCTGTTGCCGCCATGGCAGGCTCTACTGGTGCCCTTCTGGCCGACACCTTTCTGGAGGCTCATTCCATAACTTTACTAAGTGATTGTGAGCCAAACCCTGAATTGGAACCTACGGCGGAGGAAGTTGATCGTCTCTCTGATCCTGATATGTACAACCTTATGGCACAATCACTTGCGCCTGAAATCTACGGTCACGAGGACGTCAAGAAGGCTCTTCTCCTGCTCCTCGTTGGTGGTGTGGAGATTCGTCCTCAGGCAGGACTTAAGATTCGTGGCAATCTTAATATTTGCTTGATGGGAGATCCGGGTGTTGCGAAGTCGCAACTTTTAAGTTTCGTTAACCGTCTTAGTCCTCGGTCTCAGTATACCACCGGCCGTGGCAGTTCCGGCGTTGGTCTGACTGCCGCCGTTACAAAGGATCCGTACACCGGAGAGATGGCACTTGAGGGCGGTGCGCTAGTTCTGTCTGACCAGGGAGTGTGCTGCATCGACGAGTTCGACAAGATGGCTGATTTTGACCGGTAAGTAGGCGGTTTTAGGAACCGCGGGAGTTATTCTGGAAAAATAGTGCTAATTTACATCTTGCGATTTTTACAGTACGGCTATTCACGAGGTCATGGAACAGCAAACCATCAGCATCGCAAAGGCAGGCATCCTCACTACGCTGAATGCCCGTGTAGCGCTGCTGGCTGCAGCTAATCCTGCCTACGGTCGATACAATCCGCACCGCTCTGTTGAACAGAATGTTGATCTGCCTGCTGCACTCCTCTCCCGATTTGACCTCCTTTGGCTTATTCAGGATCGGCCTGATAGGTAGGGGGATTTCTATTGTTTTTACTAGTTGTTGTTTAAACTCGTGCGTCGTCCGTGAACCTTTATGATTTTCCAAACAGATGGCTTTAACCTTATTACTTTTCTAATTTCGTTTTGGATCTACTGTCTGCGAGCAATTCGCTACTCTCGTGTTGCAGTCAGCCGCCTTTTTTGTTAACGGTTGGCGTTGTTTCTAATCGGAACGTTCCGCTAGTTTAGCCCATCCGCTTATCTGTAGGTCAGCGCCATTTTTAAACTCAGAGATTGTGGTGAAGTGTTTCAACCGGCCTCAAGGCTTGCGGCTTTGGGAGCTAACGCACGTTTGCTCATGCTTCATAATTTAGTCTTTTTAGCACGTTGCCTACTCATTTTGTCCTCAGTAGCATGCCTTACCGGGAACGAGAAGTGTTCGTCTTTTAGCTAGCATTTTTTTTTCTTTAGAGAAAATGATATGCGTCTGGCGCAGCATATCGCTTACGTACACTCACACGGTTCCGCGCCTGCTATGACTGGTATGGCAGATGACGGTGGTAGCGATAGTCACGGCTTCAGTCGCCTCCTCTCTGTAATTGAACTGCGTCGGTTGATCACCGTTGCTCGCGCCCAACCTACTCCTACTGTGCCTGCTCACCTCACCGACTACCTGGTGGGCGCTTACGTGGAGATGCGCAAAGAAGCTCGGGTCAACCGGGAGATGACTTACACTAGTGCGCGCACTCTCCTTGCCATCCTCCGTCTCTCCACCGCTCGTGCTAGACTTCGCGCTGCTTCCGAGGTAGCGAAGTCCGATGTGGACGAGGCTATGCGGCTGATGGAAGCCAGTCGCGCCTCTGTACACAACCCACTGGGTGGACTTCATGATCGCAGTCGGTGAGTAACAAATTTCAATCTTGGAATCCTTTGTGGATGAATTCGTTTTTGTAGCTCTATAAAACTTCATTCCATTGTATCGGTACAAGTAGGTCTTGTGTCAAGGTGGTGCATGGAATGGTTTAATTTTTGAAACTTACCTTCGTATTGTATTTGATGGTTACATGGGGCTAATTGCTAGTCGTTACCCTTCACCTGTTTTTTGCTAAGTTAGCCTGCTATTATTAGATGAAGAATTAATTGCCTTAGAGATCAGGATCCATTGTGCAAGGTGAGTCTTTCACTAAAATAACTCCGAAGCTTAGTCGGAGCAGCGGGTTTCTCTACGTCTTTTATTCGGAAACACCTAAGTGAATCCCGCCTTCCTCTGCATCCACAGCCTGACGTCATACAAAGACCTCATCTACCAAGTGGTTCGTGAGTTGCTGTCCGCTGGTGATGGCACAACCCGTCTAGCCGATGTGATGGAGCGATGTGCCACGAAGGGTTTCACTCCTGCCCAGGTTAACGAGGTGGTTGACGCCTATGAGAATCTCAACGTCTGGCAGCTTAACATGGCCCGCACACGCCTCACTGCAGTCGCTTAGGCAGCTGGCAGATCAGATGCCATCAGTGCCGCCAATTTCGTTTCTCTGTGTATTTATTGTTTTGTTTGTGTGGGAAGCTACAATTGTGCCGACCGGAAGACAAATTGCTCTCTCAACTATTTGTATTTCGATCATATTTTGCTTTACCTTCCGTGTCACAAATAAACTTTCCAGGGAGGTTTCGTCCCTTCTAAACTTTGCATCTTTCTGAGTTGAACCGCGATTATCCAGTCTTAGACGTTTATTCCATGAAAGTCCTATTTACCGAATAGGGCGTGAAATTTCAATATTTTGTCCTTCCCATGTTACTTTCCACGCTAATGTGGGGGTCGGGAATGCGCATTTGAGTTGTTTAAGTCATCATGCGGAGGAGTTTCGTTTGAGTGAGGGTGAAGTGGGCAGTATACATTGTTCTATCCTTAATTTGTGGTCTTGGCACGCATTGGCATTGGTTAAACCTTTGAAGCCGTGGGTTGCGTGTTTTATTTGCTAGTTTTTATTCAACCTTGCTTGGCATAATATAACCATTGGCATGTTTCGCACCCTAGTTGCAATTTCACCAGCGTCTCTCCTACCTGTTGTCCGTTACTCCACATGCATTTCTAAGTCTGCAGTCCAGCTTTTGTCCTTGTGTGATATCTCCTCTCCTGGAATTGTGGGGCGGGTGCTGGGCTATTTCCTCTTATCTCGTATGTAATTTTCTTTCACCAATTCGGATCAAATTTGACACAGGTCATGTGTGTATAGTCCGATTTTGGATTTTTTTGTGTCGGACTTGTGTGATTGCGTGCGAGTTAAAACACTTCAAACCTTCTTTGAGCCCAGTCTGCAGTACATTTGAAAGCTTTAGCAGTTCTTGGAGATGTATCGTCATGTCGATTGTTTGTGCTATTAGTAAGTACGCTTTAAAAAGCGTAACCGCACGTGTTACCCATCTCGACCCTCCATTATCTTCCCTCCTAGATCGTATAAACTTAACCCGGTGGATGCGATCTAAGTTCGTTTGTTGCACAAAGTTTTTGCAATGATTTTAAGGACTCCAGGATTTAGACTACTCCAGTCGTAAAGTCGCATAAAGTTGCCAGGAACACCTGAGAAAGAAATGCTCGACCAGTTGTTTCGCATCTCATACGTTGCTAGAATATCCTGAGCCGATCCTTTCTGTGTCGTGCACTAACAAGTGTCATGCAGTGAGATTAAAAAGAGTCAGTTTATCCACTTAGAGGATAGTTATTACCTTAGAGACCGGCAATGAAAGCGGAAACTATGCTGCAGAGATCGTGAAATGACCAGCCCCATCTTTAATTGACTCCAATGGAACATTTCGGAGGTATGTGTTGTATGATGTTTCAAATCTACACAAATAGTGGATGCCATGTGCGGATGCGTGCTGAACTTCTATGGCTAAGGTTTGGCTTGGTCAATCAACTGCACTTATTAATTCTAACATAACAATAGAGGGGATGCTCTAACGCACATCGAGAAATCCATATTAGAGAAGCTTCGCTGTAATAAAGTAATTTTGTGTGGCTGCGTTGCAGTTCCGTCGTGTAGGGGAAAAGAAGTGCAGCAATTCAATAGTGAAAAGGGAGAGGCGGAAATAAGGGAGTCGAGGAGCAGGCGTATTTAGGAAACCAAATCAATCAAAGCAAACGTCAAGTTAAATTTTCAACTTACACTTACATCGAAAATTAACGAATTACAAACTAACTACGTGGTAGCGAAAAGATAATGAACAAGCAGCAAGAATTGCGTCTCAAGGGAATGATGGAGGCAAACGGGTTGTGCACACTCAATCAT